CCCCCCCTCGCCTGGCAATATCGATCGCCGTGCGGTCACATCTCGCTACGCGCTCGAATTGGACAGTGGGCAGGGCAAAGACGACGATTTTCGATAATTTTTTTCTCGTTAACTATTGCGAAAATTGCAAAATGTTTCAGGACTTTTCTGTTCTTCTCGATCCGTTCTACCTTCTCACGAGTTCGTGGACAAATGTTATAACTCACCCTGTATAGCAAAGAATACAAATTTATTTAATTTTATTTTATATTATTTTCTGTATTAATTTAGCAGTACAAGAATTTAAAAAGGGCTTATAAAATACATCTCAAGCTAAGTAAAAAAAGTGATAAAAATTTAGTACCTCTATAACGTGTACGTTTAGAAATGTCCATGGCGAAAACTAATGTGAGAAATTCCGCTTTATTTCTCATTCTCCAACGAGAGCTGATTATCACGCATGCTCGCGGTGAAAGTACAATACCCTGGTTACTTCTTCGAAACAGCATTAAATATTGAAAATGCTATCCCCAGTTGATCACAGTCACGCGTCTCGTTAGAAAAGTTTTTTTTACCAGTGTTCGAATAAGTCATAAAAAGCGTTTATGTCTCTACTAATTGCAAGACGAGAGATGGAAAATATTCCGTCACAGTACTTTGCAAATTTATCGAACTTGTCTTGAAACCTTTTCGTAACAGAATAATGTGTACGAAAACACAAGAAGCTGCTGTCTAGAAACCTGGATGATATCTCGTCGTTACTGTTTGTGATTATTGTAAAGATATAGGTATGCTTTTTTATATACGCAGTGAATTAATTTGTTATCAAATAAATTGTAATATGTTTTAGAGTAATTTTTTAAATATCCTTTACGTGAATTTAAAACATTACCATATAAAACGAAGCCATCCTTTAAGTCTGTGATTAAACTTTCTTTTTTTATAAAATCTGCCCGCAATATAAAAACAATAACAATCATACGCAAATATTATAATTTAAAAATCAATAATTTTTGGATATCCAGCGGAGTCGAGTATTTGTTCGCGGAATGGGCCTCAATCTATTCTATTTATACTTGAGCCTTATTCTATTCTGTTTATACTTGGAACTCAGAGTCGGATTAAAACTTCAATTTGAGGCCAAGCTGAGTAAAAAAAATTGTGTTTAACTTCATTCTAACATTTAATTTAATACACAAAAACACAAATTATTAAGAATTAAACTGTTTACAATCATTGATGAATAAACGTTTTATTCCTAAAGTTAAATTAATTTTAATAATAATTAACTCTTAGTTGTAATAAGAAATCATGACATTTATAAATAGAAATATTTTCTATTCAATACTTTATCACAACATGAAACAAATTATATATTAAACTAGTAATTTTTTATACTTTAACCTCGCTTTGCCAGTAGAAACGATATATAGCCAGCCGACGATTTTAATAACTGAAACCAAATTTTTATTTAAAATACTATGAACAAGATTTTATTGAAGACACAGGAAAAATTTTACCAGTACCATTATTATTAATTTTCATATACGTTTAAAATTGTTAATTATATAATAAAAATATCTTACGCTACAAAATGTGGTCATCGTTAGAGGAACAATTTTTCCTGCTGTGATACGAAAAGGTTCACTGGCTCGTGTCATCAATAAAATAAGACTTTTCGCTTTTCTTGATTCCAGTTTATACCACTTGAGGTCATGTATGGCACGGCATATTGCTTCACACTTAGAACACACATATAATAAAATATAAATATTCGCATTATCTCAGGAAGTTCCATAAATATTAATTGATTAATATTCTTATATCTCTCAACGTAATAAAACCTTCTGCTTTCTATTGTGAAGAAATTAGATAGCATTGTAAACAAATTATAATGCAACTTGGATTTAAGTAATATTTATAAAAATGATTATTAAAACATTAGAGATTAGTATACATTACATGTCTACATAAAAAATAGTAATTATTTGGAAGTGGTGCTTCAACAAGAATCGGTTTTTCTAGCAATTAACAAAACAAGTCATTAAAAGGTAAAGTTTTAAGGGGTAAGTGGATTTAAGTTTTTGTATAAAAGAAATTCAAAATTCATTTCATTTCATTTCATTCCTCACATTATTCATCTATATTTATATTATGTTTATTATTTATATACAATTATTCATGAGATTGAAATGAAATCCCGAGCAGAAATTTTAGAAGGGTCGTAATAAAGACCTAATAAGCATTACATAATGCCTGATCAGGCACTCATCAGATAGTCTAACTTGTGGTCGCTACATCGCGACAGCGAGTGGTACTAAAATATAGTACATTTTTAAAAGATCTGGAAAGACTCATCGAAAACCGCAATTTCTTTGCGTGAAAAAGTAGAAACATGTGGAACTGTGTAATGATTTCACAGAAAATACGTTTTCTAGTAAAAAAAAGATTGAAAATGAATGTATTGCTAAAGATTTACCTCATATCGACCCCTGCTTTCAAAGCTGAATTAAGTACGAGCAATACTTTCATCGTTATGGTTCCACATGGGTTTGCAACTTTCTCCGCGAAGCGAAGTCTATCCCACAACGACCTCTACGTGCGGAGCGAAACTTTTTCCTTCGTTATACAGTCCCACATGGGTTTGCAACTTTTCAAACAAAGCGAGGCCTATGCCGTACCAACTTTTACTTTCAGGGGGATATTACTTTCATCGTTGTACGGTGTCACATTGGATATGCAATTTTTCCGTACGACGTAAAGTCCATCCCACACCGACTTCTACTTTCCGGGGCGAAACTAGTTCCATCGTCGTACGGTTCCACATAAGTTTGCAACTTTTCATACGAAGCGAGTCTGTCCATCCCACATCCCTAATGAAACATTTTCGAACTTTGTTCTACAAAAACATTAGGCCTCTCCTTCAAACTTTCCTTACATATATTTTTAAAGTTTGCTTTGTTAATTGCTACACGCGCACGCGCCCACACATCTAAACAAAAATAACGAATGCTTATTGGAACACTACTTCCAAATATTTACCATTATAAGATTAATGATTGGCACAATGGTATAAAATTAAATACATATTTATATTTACAAATAAAAATATTAATTATTGATTATTATAGACATTTATTATAAATTCATTTATTATTATAAATTTTATTTTTCACCTGCTCCGTTACTAGCTCTCCGGCTCCGCAGTAGAGAAAAGTGTGTACTAAAAGAGTAGTAACCCCAACCATAACGTAAAGCACTCGTGAAAAAGGAATGTCATTCGTCTTACTGTCGGAAATTACCTGCATAATATACATACATATGTATAAGTATATTTTGTTACTTCAAAAAATTAATTCATTCCCATAAACTAAATACAAACAATATATTGTAATTACAGACAAGACATATTATGCTTATATAATTTTGTATACAAGTATAAAAAGGACGTGTTAATAATTGTAAAGTAAACTTTACTAAACTTACGGCAAGTAATAGAAATCCGTATAGACAAAACACAGTGCCAAAATAAAATACTAATCCTAACATCAAAAATGCAAAAGTTTCTTCGATCTTATCGGCAAACCTGTAAACATAAATATATATTCAGAAATATTACATATCATCTTAGATATACATCTACTCTTGTATGTACACATATTAAAAATATGTAAAAAGAAAATAAAATTAATAGAAAATCTGAGAAATTTTACATAATTATTCTATACAAATGTAGTGGAAATATTGCATGACATATTAAGATATTTATAGTGTTGACATCATGTGAGAATAAGTGTTCAAAATTAAATAAATCCTGAAAAATTTAACTTTTCCGCAAGTTTTCAGAAATTTGTTTTCTGTAACTTTATTATTTTCTCAACGTCAGTGTTCCCTTGACCATTTTTATTACTTTATAATTACAATTAAAACCTGCAAAAACCTGATGAGTCGCAGATGCGCGATCACATAATTCCGTAAAGCACTATTAAAATCTTTGCACGAAACCAAATTGATTAATCGACATCTGAAGTTTTCTAATTGGCCGCAAATGTGAAGGACCACAAGTCCAAGGAAAGCATCCACTGATGTATAAGTTATAGATGTGAAGAAAAGTGTCATGGCCTGAATTACAAGCGTGAATTCAAATTGCGGGCTCTTATCTGTATCGTAGAAATAATACGTCTGTAGCGGTAATGGTTTGTTCCGATCTGTGAGATTTGTTATACGTCTAATTGGTATGCCAAAAGAAGGAAAAATAATTATCGTGAGAAATGCTAGAATCATTAAAACATATCCACAAATCATGATCATTCGAGCAGTTCGCGCTCGCTTCCTCATCACATCCCTCTCTGTGTGGAGTTTCAATGCCATCCAATCTTCCGCCATCATCTTTACGATGGGTAGGAGAGCTTAGAAATGATACATCGTGCAATAATATTAAATTACTTATTAATTCATAAAACAAAACAGTCATTAATACATTTTTGTATTATTCATTTTAATACACAAATGCATATGTATACATATATACATTTGTATATATGTACATACTGTCAGAAAAAAAATTGATTTCGCTCTGGTATTTTAATGTATGAAAAATAAATGCAAAACAATTTATTGGTGAAAAGAAACTCAAAGATAAATAAGTTATGACAAACCTGACCGCTTCCACCGCATCATAACAAGTTCCCACAAAACCACCATTAGAGATAACGTAATTTGTAAGTTATCTATCACAAGTATCATGTCGTGCCGTACGCGCACAAGAGAACATATGAGTGGGATTCCACAACCGAAGAATCCTAGAACGAAAATAATGACCACGCGAAGATCGGACATGTAGTCATTCTTAACGATTTCATCCATTTTAGGCCATAAACCGACCAGTTGTAGACCGAACCGATTTAATTGAATTGCCCATACAAAATCTAATAAAAATTTAACGTTAAGTTAAAACATTTAATAAAAGTAACACATACAAAAATTTATGTCCTTAAATATCTAAACGGTGTTGAATTTAAAACTTACAATTTGATAACTTTATTAATTCAACATAATATAACATAAATATATATAATAAATCGTAAACAATTGAAGAGTGCATATACATATATAGCAAAGAACACACATATATTTAATTTAATTTGATAATAATTTCTGTCTTAATTTACCAGTAAAAGAATTTCAGAAAGCCTTATAAAATAAATCTTAGGCTGAGTATAAAAAAGTGATAAAAATTTAGTACCTCTATAACGTGTACGTTTAGAAACGTCCATAGCGAAGACTAATGTGAGAAATTCTGCTTTATTTCTCATTCTCCAACGAGAGATGATTATCACGCATGCTCGCGGTGAAAGTACAATACCCTGGTTACTTCTTCGAAACAGCATTAAATATTGAAAATGCTATCCCCAGTTGATCACAGTCACGCGTCTCGTTAGAAAAGTTTTTTTACCAGTGTTCGAATAAGTCATAAAAAGCGTTTATGTCTCTACTAATTGCAAGGCGAGAGATGGAAAATATTCCGTCACAGTACTTTGCAAATTTATCGAACTTGTCTTGAAACCTTTTCGTAACAGAATAATGTGTACGAAAACACAAGAAGCTACTGTCTAGAAACCTGGATGATATCTCATCGTTACTGTTTGTGATTATTGTAAAGATATAGGTATGCTTTTTTATATAACGCAGCGAATTAATTAGTTATCGATAAAATTGTGATATGTTTTATAGTTATCTTTTTAATATTCTTTAGGTAAATTTAAAACATTCCTATATAAAACGAAAGCATCCTTTAAGACTGTGATTAAACTTTCTTTTTAACAAAATCCGCTCGCAATAAGAAATAATAACAATCATACACAAATATTATAATTTTAAAAATCAATTATTTTTGGATATCCAGTGGAGACGAGTATTTGTGCGTGGAATGGGCCTCAATTATTCTATTTTGTCCATACTTGGACCTCAGAGTCTGATTAAAACTTCAATTTAAAGCCAAGATGAGTAAGAAAATTGTGCTTAACCTCATCCTAACATTTAATTAAATACATAAAAACCAAATTATTAAAAAGTTAAACTGTTTACAATCATTGATGAATAAACGTTTTATTCCTGAAGATAATTTAATTTTACTAATAATTAACTCTTAGTTGTAATAAAAAATCATGACATTTATAAATAGAAATATTTTGCGTTCAATACTTTATCACGATATGAAACAAATTATATATTATACTAGTAATTTTTATACGTCAACCTCGCTTTGCCAGTAGAAACGATATATAGCCAGCCGATGATTTTAATAACTAAAAACAAATTACTATTTAAAAAACTATAAACAAGATTTTATTGAAGACACAGGAAAAATTTTGTGTACACCAGTACACATTATTATTAATTTTCATATGGTACGTTTAAAATTGTTAATTGTATGTATAATAAAAATATCTTACGCTACAAAATGTGGTCATCGTTAGAGGAACAATTTTTCCTGCTGTGATACGAAAAGGTTCACTGGCTCGTGTCATCAATAAAATCAGACTTTTCGCTTTTCTTGATTCCAGTTTATACCACTTGAGGTCATGTATGGCACGGTATATTGCTTCGCACTTAAAACAAACATATAATAATATATAATTATCTCAGGATATGTTCCATAAATATTAATTAATAATATTCTTATAAGTCTCAAGATGATAAAACTATTGTGTATATAAAACTGCTATCCATTGCGAAGAAAATAGATAGAATTGTGAACAAATTATAATAAAACTTGAATTTAATTAATATTTATAGAAATGGTTATTAAGAGACATAGATTAATATATGTATACATAAAAAATAGTCAATGTTTGGAAGTGGTGCTGCAACAAGAGTAGGTTTTTTGTAGCAATTAACAAAACAAGTCATTAAAAGACAAGGTTTTAAGGGGTAAGTGGGCTTAAAGTTTTTGTATAAAAGAAATTCATAACGTTACATATATTTTATTTCATTCTTCACATTATTCATCTATATTTATATTATGTTTATTATTTATATACAATTATTTATGAGATCGGAATGAAATTCCGAGCAGAAATTTTAGAAGGATCGTAATAAGGACCTAATAGCATGACCTAATGCCTGATCAGGCACTTATCAGGTAGCCTAACTCGCGGTCACCACGTCGCGGCAGCGAGTGGTACTAAAATATTATAGATTGTGAAAAAATCTGAAAAGACTCATCGAAAACTGCAATTTCTTTGCGTGAAAAAGTAGAAATATATGGAACTGTGTAATGATTTTACAGAAAATACGTTTTCTAGTAAAAAAAAGATTGAAAATGAATGTATTGCTAAAGATTTACCTCACATCGACCCCTGCTTTCAAAGCTGAATTAAGTACGAGCAATACTTTCATCGTTATGGTTTCACATGGGTTTGCAACTTTCTCCGCGAAGCGAAGTTTATCCCACAACGACCTCTACGTGCGGAGCGAAACTTTTTCCTTCGTTATACAGTCCCACATGGGTTTGCAACTTTTCAAACAAAGCGAGGCCTATGCCGTACCAACTTTTACTTTCAGGGGGATATTACTTTCATCGTTGTACGGTGTCACATTGGATATGCAATTTTTCCGTACGACGTAAAGTCCATCCCACACCGATTTCTACTTTCCGGGGCGAAACTAGTTCCATCGTCGTACGGTTCCACATAAGTTTGCAACTTTTCATACGAAGCGAGTCTGTTCATCCCACATCCCATCCCTGATGGAACATTTTCGAACCTTGTTCTACAAAAACTTTAGACCTCTCCTTAAAACTTTCCTTGTATATATTTTTATAACTTGTTTTGTTAATTGCTACACACGCGCACACACACACACGTAAACAAAAATAATGAATGCTTATTGGAACACCACTTCCAAACATTTACCATTATAAGATTAATGATTGGCACAATGGTATAGTTAAATAAATATTTATATTTAGAAATAAAAATTAATTATTTATTATTATAAATATGTATTTATTATAAGTTTATTTATTACTATAAATAGTATTTTTACCTGCTCCGTTACTAGCTCTCCGGCTCCGCAGTAGAGAAAAGTGTGTACTAAAAGAGTAGTAACCCCAACCATTACGTACAACACTCGTGAAAGAGGAATGTCGTTCGTTTTACTGTCGGCAATTATCTGTATAATATACATACAAGTATATTTTATTGTTTCAGAAAAATTAATTCATTTGCATAAACTAAATACAAGCAATAATACTGTAATTACAGACAAGGTATATTATGCTTATAATTTTGTATACTGTAAACGAGTATAAAAAGGACGTGTTAATAATTGCAAAGTAAACTTTACTAAACTTACGGCAAGTAATAGAAATCCGTATAGACAAAATGCAATACCAAAATAAAATACTAATCCCAACATCAATAATGTAAAAGTTTCTTCCATCTTATCGGCAAACCTGTAAAGATAAACATATGCAGGAATATTATATTAATTTATATATACATTCACTCTAGTATGCACACATATTTAAAAAATATGTAAAAAGAAGATAAAATTAATAGAATATGTGAGAAATTTTTCATAATTATTCTATACAAATGTAGTAGAAATATTGCATGACATATTAAAATATTTATAGTAATGACATCATGTGAGAATAAGTGTTCAAAATTATATTAATCCTGAAAAATTCAACTTTTTCGCAAGTTTTCAGAAATTTGTTTTCTGCAACTTTACTATTTTATCAACGTCAATGTTTCCGTGACCATATATTTATTATTTTATTATTACAATTAAAACCTGCAAAAACCTGATGAGTCGAAGATGCGCGATCACATAATTCCGTAAAGCACTATTAAAATCATTGCACGAAACCAGGTTGATTAATCTACATCTGAAGTTTTCTAATTGGCCGCATATATGAAGGACGGTAAGTCCAAGGAAAGCATCTACTGATGTATAAGTTACAGCTGCTAAGAAAATTGTCATGGCCTGAATAACAAGCGTGAATTCAAATTGCGGGCTCTTATCTGTATCGTAAAAATAATACGTCTGTAGCGGTAACGGTTTGTTACGATCTGTGAGATTTGTTATACGTCTAATTGGTGTGCCAAAAGAAGGAAAAACAATTATCGTGGTGAATGCTAGAATCATTAAAACATATCCACAAATCACGATCATTCGAGCAGTATGCGCTCGCTTCCTCATCACGTCCCTCTCTGTGTGGAGCTTCAATGCCATCCAATCTTCCGTCATCATCTTTACGATGGATAGGAGAGCTTAGAAATGATACATCGTGCAATAATATTAAATTATTTATTAATTCATAAAATAAAGCGTTATAAATATATTTTTGTATGATTTATTTTAATACACACATACAGACATATGTGTATATAAACTGCCAGAAAAAAAATAAATACTGATTTCTCTCTAGTATTTTAATGTATGATAAAAAATGGATGCAAAATAATGTATTGATGGAAAGAAACTTGAAAATAAATAATTTATGACAAACCTGACCGCTTGCACCGCATCACAACAAGTTTCCACAAAACTACTATTAGAGATAACGTAATTTGTAAGTTATCTATCACAAGTATCATGTCGTGCCGTACTCGTATAAGAGAACATACGAGTGGGATTCCGGAGCCGAAGGTTATTATAACGAAAATAATGACCACGCGAAGATCGGACATGTAGTCATTCTTAACGATTTCATCCATTTTAGGCCATAAACCAGCCAGTGTCAAACCGAACCGATTTAATTCAACTGCCCATACAAAATCTAATAAAAATTTAATTTTTAAATAAAAATGAAAATTTATTTAATTTTTTAATTTCATTATTTCGTAATAATTTCTGTCTTAATTTAGCAGTACAAGAATTTAAGAAGTCCCTATAAAATAAATCTCAGAATAAGTAAAAACAAGTGATAAAAATTTAGTACCTCTGTAACGTGTACGTTTAGAAATGTCCATGGCGAAGACTAATGTGAGAAATTCCGCTTCATTTCTCATTTTCCAACGAGAGATGATTATCACGCATGCTCACGGTGCAAGCACAATACACTGGCTACTTCTTCGAAGCAGCATTAAATATTAAGAATGCTATCCCCAGTTGATCAGAATTGCTCGTCTCGTCAAAAAACTTTACAAACGTACGAATAAGTAAGAAAAAGCATTTATGTCTCTGCTAAGACGAGAGATGGAAAATATTCCGTCACAGTACTTTGCAAATTTATCGAACCTGTCTTGAAACCTTTTTCGTAACAGAACGCAAGAAGCTGCTATCTAGAAACCTGGATGATATCTCATCGTTACTGTATGTGATTATTATAAAGATAGTTATATTATAGTAATCGATTTATAATTGCCCCTAAATTTAATTACATACACAAAAAACACTAATTATTACAAGTTTAAACTGTTTAAAAACATTTTATTGTACACATCTCTGATTTTTATCAAATTATTTTTCTTGTAAATAGTAAAATTTCTTACATTTTAAAAGGTATACAATAATATTATTTCCAATAAATAATTAACCTCAAGTTAAACAGCAAAACGAAACTGTATTTCTATTAATAATGATAATAAATATAATTATTAGTTTCTATTCGATAATATTCTGTTGAAAATACATTTGTCTTTTCTATATAATGACTGAATGAAAATGTATTAACATAACCTTCAACTTCTCTTTGCTAGTAAAAACGATATATATCCAGCCGAAGTTTTTAAAAGCTGAAATAAATTATATTATTATTTAATATAGTGCGGAAGAAGAGAAAAGTATTATCAAAACTAATCTTAACTACATATTTATACACGGAAAGGATTTTCTCTTAAAATTTACCCTAAAAATTATGTAATCGTGGGACAACATGGCAGTATATGAAGAACTTCATAAGAGTTTTTTGAAATTTTACTATACATTCTACTAATAAAATTTATACTAAGTATAATTACTACGAAAATGTATGGTAAAATTTCAAAAAACTGTCATAGAATTCTTTGAAATGCCACGTTGTCCCACAATTACTTGATTTTCAGGATAAATTTTAGGACAAAATTTTCTCCGTGTACTATGCTGTAATAATAATTGTAATAATTTTTCAATAGCTGCTCTTGATGAAATACATATAGAGATACAACCTTCTATGCCGAACCACTTTTTGTGATTTGCCGCTTACGCCGTGCGGCATGGAATGTGCTAAATATGAAAATAAATGATTAATAATACTATCTATATAATCTTACGCTGCAAAATGAAGCCATTGTTAATGGAACAATTTTTCCTGCAGTAATGCGAAATGGTTCGCTGGTTCGAAGCAGTAATAAAATAAGACACCTCGCTTTTCTCGATTCCAATTTGTACCACTCAAGATCGCACAATACACGATATATGGCCTCACACTTGAAAAATATGTACGTATTATTTTAGTATACTTGTTACGAATATTATAATAATATATACGTTAATATAAATTATATAATTATATATACATATATTTATTTTAGTCTATAAATGCAGGGTGTATCTAAATGGTCTGTACAAACTTTTGGAATAAGTTCCAGGGACCTAAACAAGTAGAAATGTCCCATGAATATGGGGTCGGAAACGATTGCTGCCGGAGTTACGATGTTTCGAAGCTCCTTACAATGGCTGGAGAAATTATCACGTCAAATCGCATAGGTGTTACAAAGTTTATTTATTTCCTTGGTTTTGCCACGCATACGCAGGATACTTTCAACCAACTGAATGCTGCACTGTTCACAGAGCTCTTTTTCTTTATCCCTCGTGATTCCTTTAACCTTCCTTTAACCTTCATTTCTTAGGCACTTTCTTTATGTCCTTTTATGTCCGTGGCAAAACCAAGTAAATAAATAAGCTTTGTAACACCTATGCGATTTGACGTGATAATTTCTCCAGCCATTGTAGGGAGCTTCGAAACATCGTAACTCCAGAAGCAATCGTTTCCGACCCCATTCATGGGACATTTCTACTTGTTTAGGTCCCTGGAACTTATTCCAAAAGTTTGTACAGACCATTTAGAAACACCCTGTATATAAAAATAAATTTAAAAAATTTGCATTACTTTATTCAAATCAACTTGATTAATGGAATATTGTCTTATAATAGTTGACACATGTATGTATATAAAAATATATGTAACAAAAATCTTTAAATTCTTCTTAGTGTCAATACATTCAAACAAAGAGACATAGCAAACACAACAATAATATTTAAAAATTATATGCTATGTGATTATTGAATAAGATATGAAAAATTAATCTGTAACACAAATTATTACACTACGTTTATATTACGTTTTCATATTACACTTATACGTATACATATATTACGTATTTTTAGTTTTGTGTACTTGTATGTACAATATAAATACACATATAACTTACTTGTCCCGTTATAAGTTCTCCGGCACCGCAATAGAGAAACGTATGCGTTAATAAAATCATAACAGCAACTGCCATGTAACATACTTGCAGGAAACTTGCGTCATTTGTCCTTTCATCAGAAATTACCTAAGTAATATACATACCTCATTAATTAATAAAACACAAATGGATATAAGTTAAACACATAATAAACCATAGGCTCACACTAAGTTATATTGCATAAATTTATATTCCAAAAATAAACAAACGCGTAAGAATTAAAACGTTTTCAATACATCATTTCACTGAAACTCACAGTAAGAAGTAAAAATCCTACTAGACAAAATACGATACAAAAATAAAGTACCAATCCAAAAATCATTAACGAAAACGTACTTTCAATGTTATTGACAAACCTGCAAACATAAAACTGAAAATTAAATAGAGATGTCGTCATTTTAAAGGCAATACTATTTTTTTTAAATCAAATATAAATAACTTTGATTTAATGTTGATTAATCACATTTTATGTAAGCGTTTTCTAATTAACAATAATATTAACAGTTTTTATAGGCTGTTATCAATTTGTTCTAGTCTATTAAAAATAAAAACAACAATTTTAGCCGAATAATTTTTTATAAAAAACTAACAAAAATTATATAATTTAACATAAAAAAATTAATATTTACATCATGTCAGACATAAGAAGTTTTGCTAATCATTTGACATCCCACTGTCATAATCAAAATCCGTACCTGATAAGTCGTAAATGATACATTATGCTGTTTTTCAGAGCTTGGTTGAAATTTTTGCATACAATCAAATTGACTAAACGATGCCTGAGGTTCTCTAATTGGCCACAAATGTGAAAGACCACGAGCGCAAGGAAAGCATCTACCGATGTGTAAATTATACCTGCCAGAGTAATTGCTATGGCTTGTGTAAGAAATGTCAATTCAAATTGGGGACTTTTATCAGTGTCGTAGAAGTAATACGCCTGCAGCGGTAGCGGCTTGTTCCGATCGGTGAGATTTGTTATGTGTCTTATTTGTATGCCAAAGCATGGAAAAATCATCAGCATGATAAATGCTGATATCATTAAAACATATCCGAAAAGCATGAGTAATCGAGCAGATCGTGCTTGTTTTAGCATTACATCCCTCTCTGTGTTTAACTTCACTGCTATCCAGTCCTCCGCCATCATGTTAACAATAGATAAAAGAACTTGAAAATATAACAATACTGCTAATGAATGAATATATCAAATTATTTACATATAACTATAATTATTTCTTAACTCTTAAACCATCGAATTAACACGAACATTCCATGAACATTACATAAACATAAATTGACTTTTAATTTTAAAAGCTCAAAAGTTAACAAATAAATACAATTAATTTTAAAAAGAAAAAACGTAGAGATACATATAGAGATAGAGATAGATACATAGATACATAGATACATCGATAGATAGATAGATAGATAGAAAATATCATAAACACTTAATAATTTTATTTTTACATATTTATTATATAATAAAAAGAGAGAAGAAAAATGAATCTACCGTATAGTACACTTGTTTTAGATGTCAGAATTTAATACCTTAATAATAATAAAACATATAATACCCGTAGAAATAAATTATATAAGATGCAAAATGTTTTACATGTAATACTAATTGTAAGACACGTACCTTTTCGTTTCCATCGTATAATAACAAATTTAAACGAAACCACTATAAGAGGTAACGTAATTCGTAAATTATCTATCATAAGTACCATGTCGCCCCAAACTCGTATAAGCGCGCATACGAGCGGTACACCAGAGACCAATATCACAGTAATGAAAGTGAAGCCCACACGAACATTAGTTACTAATTTTTTCCTAGAAACTTCATCGGCTAAAGGCCATAAACCGACTAATTCTAATCCCAAACGATGTAATTCAACTGCCCATACAAAATCTAATAATTGTTTATATAAAATAAAAGATTTAGATTAAAAAGGCACAAATGAATACGTAAATTATTAAAAAACTAGTCGTAAGATAATGCGACGACAAAAATGGATTTATAATGTAAACTTATATTATATTACTAATAATAATATAAAATCCGCGTAATAAACAAAAGACACATGATATGATATTCGTACCTTTATAACCCAACGACTCCGTAATGTCCATGTCGAAGACTAACACGAAGAGGGGATCGTCCCGTTTTCCCCCCCCATATAATATAAAACGATCATCGCGCATGCTGTCCATATAAATGCAAGAACTCGACAGTCTCGTCAGATACATTAAATATTAAAACTGCTATCCCCAGTTGATTATAGCTGTTGGTAATGCGAAAAAAGAACTTCACAAGCATACAACAAGTCATAAAGATCGTTTTACGTCTGGTCTCATAAAAGAGATAAAAAATATTATATAGCAGTACGTTAAAAGTTTGCCGAATGTTCGTTCACAAACTTTTTTTCATACTTAGTCTCATCCTATATGCATTTAATACTTCGATATAAAAACTAGCGTAATCGCATTTTCGATGGTAACGTCGAATAAGAATTTCGCATAAGAACCTCGGAAATGTAGTGAAAAAATAAGATAACATGGTGTTACGTTACATTATACTCGTATCTTTCAAACGTCTCTCCAAAAACCATATTCATAGAACACATGTAAGTGAACGCGATAGTATCTCTATCAAGCAGGTTATAATATTTTAAAATTATTCATGGTTTATGCATTTTTGTGAGACTTCGCCGTGAGAGTGTAGATCGAGGCAATCTATATTAATCATCAAAGTACTTTACCTAATTGCAAGTTTTAAAAAGTTTCTAAATGAAGCTTATATATAATTAATTATTTTATGTTATATTTCAGAACGCAACAAATTTTTTAACATAAAATATACTTTTGATTAATACAATACAACAAATTTATCTAATTTTTTTTAATCGCTTGAATTTAGGTAGTCATACGAAATTATAAAAATTATATGATCAAGCGAGTGCAAATTTCTTACATTAAAAAATACTGTATTAATTATTAAAAATTTTAAGTAACATGATATATTATAAGAATACACATATTTAACAAATATATAAGTGAATAATGTAAATTTTCTATGTATAAAGTCAACTTAATTTTGAAATACAATAACATCTACTCGTAATTATTGTATTGCAAATACATTCGTGTCCTTCGTGCGTACATAACTCGACTTAACAATTAAATACCACCGCTATATTAATCATCAAAGTACTTTACCTAATTGCAAGTTTTACCGCGGATTTCGGACTAAACGGATAACCAAACTAATAATACTGTACATTAAATATCGCAACGTATGCATTCCATATTTGTTTCGGAGAGCATGGGGTAGACCTGTTTTATTTTACTCTCATCGTCAGTCGGCCTCGAGGTATGGTACGATCAGGCTGTTTATAGAGGGCATCTAAAATTTTTAAATTGTAATTTTATTTATTAAATAATTTAATTCAACGTACTTTTTGTGTTTTCATGGATACTCCTTTTCTCTATTAATCTATTAACTCGATTTATTGTACGTACATCGCAACATAATAATCTTCAACGCTTTGCCAGTAAGAAAGATATATAACCGCACGACGTTTTTAATATCTAAAAACGATTATGTTTATTTAGAGATATTGTGAGAAAGAACTCTCTAAATATCAGTCAGAGCATTATCACTGAAAACAGTTGTAAGTATAGCATTCATTTATTTAATTCTATACTTATAACTGTACTATTTATTCAGTGCACAAAATACAAGCCACTGGGTGAAGGATCATCAAATTTTTACATAATTATTTTCTGAATACTTTATATCATAGAATTTAAAGTAAATATAGCGTCAGTCAGTACTTTGAAATACACCATATACCATTGACATTGTGGCCGTTTAAGTAAGCGTATTATCATTTCTATTTGCAATTCAATTAATGAATACGATTTTCCTAAAAAGTGATGACTAAAATTATTACTACAACTACATACAGAAGTATACACGCAATACGTATACATAAGTTGCACAAAAGCTCATGTTCGCTACAAAAATTTAAAACTAAAATATGAAAATTTAAAATAATCTTACGCTGCAAAAAGTGTCAATTGTTATTGGAATAATTTTTCCTGCAGAGATATGAAAAGGATGATTGGCTCGTAACATTAATAAAATAAGATTTCTCGCCTTCTGAGATTCCAATTTATACCATTCTAGGTCGCATATAGCACGATATACTGCATTGGACTTGACAAATATATATGTCAGAACATGTTAATGTATGCGTCATTTTGAAATGGATGAATTTCATTAAAAATATTAATAAGAACTTTTGCGATTAAATTGATTCCCATTTGTATTAAAAAAAATTTTTTATGCTAAATTTCCTTAACTGAATTCATAGAGACAACATTCTTTTCTTCTATTATAAGAAATATCATACTAAAGTGATATTATTTATTTATAAATTTCATTATGTAACTTACTTCTTCCACCATCAGTTCTCCCCCACCACAATAGAAGAATGTATTCATCAATAAAGAACTAAGCACAAATATCAAGTAAAATATTTCCATAAAAATATCCTTATTTATTTCTCCGTTATTAAATATCTGAAATGTATAAATTACAAGAAAATGAAAAAGGATATGTATATGTATAAACTACTTGTTTTTTACATACAATAGTCATTATAAAACCGCAGCAACAAAATGCAATAATAAAGTAAAATATAATTATAAACATTATTAAAGTGAATGCATTTTCAATAATGTTAGCAAATCTGCAACAATAAAAATATTTAAAATTCAATTAATGTTCGTGTCAACTGCAAAAAAATATAATTTTTAAACTTTCCCTCTGTACTAAACAATTTTTCGATAATATTGCAGAAATATTTTGTATACAGAGTGTCTGATGCAAAAGTAGCCACCTTGAAAATAGTGGTAGATTCGGTTAAACTAAGGAAACATATCATGTACCGCGGTACAAAGTAACAATAGTTATCGAGGAATTAATTTACACGTTTGAGCGAATGAGGATGCAGGAGACGGTAGGCCGAACT